CAGAAATGGTATGGACATAACAGAAGCAGAAGATATCACGAAGAGGTGGCAAGAATACACAGAACTATACAAAAAAGATCTTAATGACCCAGATAACCACGATGCTGTGATCACTCACCTAGACCCAGACATCCTGGAATGCGAAATCAAGCAGGCCTTCACTACAAAGCTAGTGGAGGTGATGGAATTTCAGCTGAGCTATTTCAAATCCTAAAAGATGATGCTGTTCAAGTGCTGCACTCCATATGGCAGCAAATTTGGAAAACTCAGCAGTGGCCATTGGACTGGAAAAGGTTAGTTTTCATTCCAATCCCAAAGAAAGGCAATGCCAAAGAATGCTCAAAGCACCGCAAAACTGCAGTCATCTCACACACTAGCAAAGTAATGCTCAAAATTCTCCAAGCCNTATCAATAACCTCAGATATGCAGATGACACCACCCTTATGGAAGAAAGAGAAGAGGAACTAAAGAGCCTTTTGATGAAAGTGAGAGAAGAGAGTGAAAAAGCTGGTTTAAAACTCAACATTCATAAAACTAAGGTCATGGCATCCAGTCCTATCACCTCATGGCAAATAGATGAGGAAACAATGGAAACAGTGAGAGACTTCATTTTCTTGGGCTCCAAATTCACTGCAGATGGTGACTGCAGCCATGAAATTAAAAGATGCTTGCTCCTTGGAAGGAAAGTTATGACCAACCTAGACAGCATTTTAAAAAGCATTACTTTGCCCAGAAAGGTCCGTCTAGTCAAGGCTATGGTTTTTCCAGTGGTCATGTATGGATGTGAGAGTTGGACTGTGAAGAAAGCTGAGTACCAAAGAATTGATGCTTTTGAACTGTGGTGTTGGAGATGACTCTTGAGAATCCCTTGGACTGCAAAGAGATCCAACCAGTCCATCCTAAAGGAGATCAGTCCTGGGTGTTCTTTGGAAGGACTGATGCTGAAGCTGAAGCTCCAATACCCTGGCCATGTCATGCAAAGAGTTGACTCATTGGAAAAGACCCTGATGCTGGGAGGGATTGGGGGCAGGAGGAGAAGGGATGACAGAGGATGAAATGGTTGGATGGTGTCATCAACTCGATGGACATGGGTTTGAGCAAACTCTGGGAGTTGGTGATGAATAGCGAGGCCTGGCGTGCTGCAATTCACGGGGTCACAAAGAGTCAGACACAACTGAGTAACTGAACTGAACTGAACTGAAGATTTATTTATACATTTATTTATATTTTTTGCTTCAGCTGTTTGGATATGCATTTTAATCATCTACCCATTTTCCTTTAGTTGTGCTTATTTTTTATGTTTACTTACATGTTTTTAAATAAACTCATTATGTAAAAGGGATGGCCAGTGTTTGTCTTTTATATATTGCAGATATTATTTCTTTTCTGTCATATCTTTAAATGGAATGATTTGTTTTCCTTTGTTTTTGCTGTATAAGAGTTTGAAATTTATATGAAATCAGATCTGTCAATATTTGCCTTAATAGTGTCTTATTTTGGTTTTATTACAAGGTCTTTCTCACTAAAATAGTATAAGTTATTCAAAAATATTTGCACTTCTATGGGATTTTTGTACATTTCAATTTTTATTTTATGTAAAGTATATGTATTATTTAACGAATAATTTTCTAAATGATATACCATTTTTCCCAGCATGTTTGTTGAACATGCCTCCATTCTGTACTTACATGAAGTACTACCTTTGTCTTATATCAAATGCATCTTTTTGTTTTTTTCATTGAATTCTTCAAATTTTTGCTTAATAGCATGCCATTTTAGTTGCTGGTACTCTGTAAGTGTAATATAGCACAAATGTGAGCAATTTTCTCATTATTTTTAATCTTTTAATTGCTATTTAGTGCATATCCTTATAAAATTATTCTTTCAGGTGATCATTACAATGATTTTGTCAAATGCTCTTATGAATTCTGAATATAATTTTTAGTATCTTCTTCTAGCCAGCAATCTACCGGTAGAAAACTGCTTAAGATCCTTCTCTTTCTGCCTGTAATCTGAGCTCATCTTTGTGATAAGTTTGTAAGTGGCTGTGTGATTCTTTAATAATTTTCATTTATCTGTCTTCACTTTGTCACTCCTACTAAGTATGTGATGCTCTTCGATTAATTTTTATTCTGCTTGCAGTTGCAGAACTCTTGGATTATAATATGTGGTCAGGAAGTAATTTCTGAATGAACTGACGATTTTTCTCCCTGCCCTTTTCTGAACTGAAGTATCTACAGCTGTACAGGCGCAGAGTGGAGAGGTGACTAAGGTACAGAGGTTTCACTAAAGGAAACAGAGTAACGAGCTTAATGGGTCTAGCACAGAGCCCTAACAAACATTTAAGCTTTGCTTTTTGTTTCCCTCTCCTTCTGTGTGACAGAATCATGGTAAGAAAAAAATGAGGATTTTTTTTTCCATCCAGACTTATTATTTAGATGCATTATTGAACCTCTCTGGCTCAGTACTGTATTGGTTAATGCATATATATCCCTTATTTTATGGTCTATTTCTTAGTCTATACTCAAACCAGATTGTAATCCAGAAGATCAAATCTGGGCAAATAGGATCTCTTTTCTTCTATTTATAATTTGAACTCCTATGACCTCCAGAAGGAAAAGACTACATAACTTGTTCTGTGCCTTTCAGCCTTTCCTTCACTATCTTGTGCTTAATTTTGCTCCAATTTGTGAATATGTCTTTGTTGTCCCTCTGTGCTGCAGGAGTGGAACCACACCGGGTTTTCCCCTTCTCATTTCCCCAAAGCGAATCTATATCATGGCTTTGCAAGTAATGTTTTTTTGTCTCAATCATTTAAATGGAGTATTCAAAAAGAGTCTACACAGATATTCACATTTCTTACTTGGCTTCTTCTTTATTAATCATTGCAGATTTTCTGTTTCATTTTTCAATTTCCAGAAATAGGCCAACTTTTACTGTTAGTAGGAATTTTGGCTACAGCAGAAAACATCTGTCTAAACTATGGCTTTGAGCGAATGTGAATAGATGTTGTACTCTGTTCTTTCCTTCACAATTGATCAACCTCAGAACATCTCTGAGAAGGAAACAAACTATCAAACACCGATCCAGTGACAGCTGCCTTTCAACCAAGTTAGAATTGGGAAAGATAAAGGCTATAGCATTTGAACAGATAAAATTTACCTGTTTTATCTTTATAAAAAAATAAAGAAATTATGATATATAAGTCACCAATACTCAACATTTCCCATTTGTAGTATTTGGTGATATTAAGGCTGCAACAGTGAGCTGTCTCCTGATTAGGTTCCCTGGATTTTCTCCTCTCTCTCTTCCTCTATCATCCCTCCCAGTCTCAGCCATCCCCGGGGTGTTGGAGATTAGAAGACTGTGTTGGGGAGGAAATAGAATTCCCATTGCAGGATTCCTGGATCCAGGCTTTCTGAGTAGGGGAGCACATTCTTCTTTGTCTGGTTGTCACTGAGCCTCTGACTCAATTGATTCTCTTGTGCATATTTGTGTAGAGGTGAATCTGCTCATCTTCCATGAGCAACTTGGGCTGTGGCTTACTCTACCTGCTCTATCCATTATTCATCTTCCATCCATTTTCAAAATCTCCCATCTTCTCATAGAACTTCTTCTGTTCTCGCCATTATAAATTTACATTAAAATGTTTTTGTGTTTTTTTATGATTATTTTAGCAGACTCTCTGAAGGGAGAGGGAATAATATGTGAGTTCAGTCTGCCATCTTTCTTTGGAACGCTATTGGCTAACATCAGGAATTCCCTGGTGGTCCAGTGGTTAGGACTTGGTACTTTCATTGCCACTGGGAGGGGTTCACATACACACACACACAGGCTAACATCTCTCTCTCTTTTTCAAAACTATGCTCATCTGCCACCTTATATAGCTTCATCTATTGCTCTCCCTTCGTCCTTGGCTTCCCAGACACTTGGTGAAGGAATTATCTATGCTCTTTCCCTTTACTTGCTCACATTCTACTCTCTCCTTCCCACTCCTGGCTGATATCTCGCTCTGTCAGTGTACTTCAACAGTTCTGGATAAGGCCATGAGTAGCTTTCATATTGCTCAAAAAGGCATTTAAAATTTGTTTTAATGTTCTCCTTATGCTTAGGAATTGTTAAAAACAAAACTCAACAGAGTAAATTTTAAAGATCCCTTAGGTTTTATTCAGTGATCCATGTATGGGTCAGAGTCCAATCTAGTAGACAGAAGGGATCTCTGAAGAACAATACAGTGAAGTGATTTTATAGACAGAAGGGAAAAGGAACAAGGAGGCTGAACTAGGCAAAAAAGCAGATAATGTTATTACAGGTCACTTTCCTTATAGGGAATGGCAAAAATGATCAGGCAGATTGCCTAACCGGTGCTGATCAGGCAATTCCTGATTGACTGATATTAAACTCATTTTTGTGAAAGCCAAAACTGTAGTTAAGTCTCAGTTTTCTGTATAGGATTAGCGTGTGAATCAATCTGGGAGCTGTTGTCTTGTTTTTAACTGAGCCTGTGACAGTATCCCTGCTTCTTGAAAATACCTTTGACTTTCAGGACAGAGCAGTTTTCTAGTTTCCCTCCTTTGCAAACCTGGATGCACTCCCCTTCTGTTGGCTTGGCATGCTCATCAAACCTTATGCATACATGCAGACTGTAATTCATTATGCCACTGTTGTGCAACCTTCCTCATCTGCTTTGTTCTCTTACTCTAAATGACCTCTTGGTTTCACGGGTCAACCATATGTGAATTATTGTCTTGTCTATCAAACATTGTATCAGAGTTCTATCTAAGACACAGAACTGTTATTTTGAATACTATGGAATATGGAATTTATTATTTTATAGGCATTTGATCTCATGAAGCAATATGACTGTTTCCTCTGTGATTAGCAGTGGGTCTAAGTCATAGGGACAGGCACTTGGGGAGGTAAGAGGAACATGACATGGGGGAGGATAATAATAAACAAATCCATCAGAATGAGCTAAAGACTGTTTTGGCTTTTTACAGCCTCCAATCATCCAATTACCTGACTTTGATAATTCAAGAAATCTGCAAAGGAAGCTGGTGCCCTTGGTTACAATACTAAACTCCTTCCTGGCCCATGAGTTAGAGAAGATGAAAGAAGGGAGCTGGATGGGAGCTGATGGAGTTGTCAACTGAACCACTGCCCCACATCTACAAGGTGAGTCAGTGATAACATCTGTAATTTGCAATAGTGTCCCTAATCAACTTCCTACATGGAAGAATAATACAAGGGATATAGCTACTGTTTCCACTCTGCCTTCTAAATCTCACACAAAATATCTCTGTGGTCTACACTAAGTTTGAACTATTAATACACAGGGAAGGAAGTTCTAGAAAATGTAGTTTCAATTTAACTAAGTAGACACAGGACAACCCCATTACAAGTCTTGAGTTCCAGGTCCATAAAACTAGGGTGACCACATAATTTGCTTTTAAAATATGGCTCTTTAGAGAGTGAAAGGTGATGGGGCAAATACTAAAACCCTCATGCAATCAGGTCATCTATTTCAGAACATATACTCTAAACCTGCAAATTACCTACTTTAGACTGGACCTCTTGAAGTATTTCCTCCAAGTTCAGTTTCTGATGCTAGTCAAGTTTACTCTTAGCACCATTCTAAATTGTATTAGCATGAGAGACACATTTCTGTGTCAACCAAAATTTCTTTCCTGGCCTTTAGAGTTTTTTGTCATGATCAGTTCAATCACTCAGTCATGTCCGAATCTTTGTGTCTCCATGGACTGCAGCACGCCAGGCCTCCCTGTCCATCACCAACTCCCAGAGTTTACTCAAACTCATGTCCATTGAGTCGGTGATGCCATCCAACCATCTCATCCTCTGTCGTCCCCTTCTCCTCCCACCTTCAATCTTTCCTAGCATCAGGGTCTTTTCAAATGAGTCAGTTCTTTGCATCAGGTGGCCAAATATTGGAGTTTCAGCTTCAGCATCAGTCCTTCCAATGAACATTCAGGACTGGTTTCCTTTAGGATGGACTGGTTGGATCTTCTTGCAGTCCAAGGGACTCTCTCAAGAGTCTTCTCCCATATCACAGTTCAAAATCACAGTTCAAAAGCATCAATTCAAAAGCATCAGTTTGTCAAGATTGTCTCTATAATAATGAGCTTTAAATATATTGTTTTCCTATTATCCTGTTTTCCATTTATTTCTACTTTTCCCCACATAGAATTGTCTCAGTTAAAGTGAGTCTTTGTCTTTCAATTAATATATGGGCTTAGTGTACCTACAAATGGCCTTGTAGTTTAATTTGGGGGCACCATAATTTCTGGAGTTTGTCTAAATTGCATCAATTCATTTGGTGATTAAAAGCCTATTTTTTTTTTCAAATTCACCTTTGAAAGTTTTTAATTATATTTTGATCTCAGAGTAGCATCCAGCTCTAAAAACTTTTTCAGAACAGAGATCAAGGATTGGAAATCCTTAAGGTCAGTAGATCTTTCCTTTGCTAAACAAGATTTTCCTCTCTTTCTCTTCAAAAAGTTCTCATCGATGAGTCAATATTCTATTGAATATTGACTTTTCACTCATATTCAATTTCCATTCTCAGGAAAATGGGAGGAACTTTAAAAGGAAATAAAAGCCAGATAGGAAAGCAAAGATTCATGGTTGAATGCTAGAAAGTTTATCTCAAATGACTGTTTTATGTTTATAGTGATCATTTAAGAAATATAGATACCTAGAAACTTGGATAAAAATTCAAAAAGAGAAGGAAACCAGATCAGGAAAAGACTAATGTAAGATGAGCCGTGGTCTGACATAGAAAACAGTTAAATCTGTATCTCATGCATGTGTTAAAAGAAATGCTTAGTTGTCATGATACATGGGCCTAGTTGCTCCGGGCATGTGACATCTTGCTGGATGAGGGGTCAAATGCCTGTACCCTGAACTAGCAGGCAGATTCTTCATCACTGACCATCAGTGAAGCCCAACGAGGCAAATTTTATTTGGGCAAAATGAGGTCTGCAGCTGGGTGACTGCATTTCAGATAGCTCTGAGAAAATGCTCTGAGGAGATGAGGGGTAGAGCTAGGATATACAGGGGTTTTGCAACAAAGGGCAGGCAGTGGGAAACATCAAGAGGTTACTGTTAATTAAAGAAATCAGATATGTCAAATTAAGGAATTTGGTACTTTTCTAAGCAGGGGAAGATGTAAGCGTCTAGGATCACGGAAATCATTCCTTTAATATGCACCTCCCGTCAGATCAGCAGCAGCATTAGATTCTCACAGGAGTGCAAACTACTGTGAACTATGCATGTGAGGAATCAAGATCAAGTGCTCTTTATGAGAATCTAACATCTGAGAATCTGAGGCGGAGCCGAGGCAGTGATGCCAGGTCTGGAGAGTGGTGGAAAACACAGATTTTCATTAGCAGTGAGGTTTGACTGCACAGAGATTATAATAAATCAATTATTTGCAGACTTATATCAAAACCCTCTCAGTGAGCAACAAGTGACAATTAAGCTGCATCTGGTGGTAGGTTTCACAGTGGCAAGTGAGTTGCCATACTTCAATTGCACAGCTGCATCTCGTGGCAGGCTTTAAGTCAGAATCCAGACTAATTGTTCAAAGTATACATTTCGAATATGTGGTTTTTACTTTTAAGACTTTTTGAAACATTTGTCTTGCTGCGATTTGTTTTTTTAAAGATTTCTGATCTATAGAGCAAGCTAAAAGCACAGAACGATAAGTATCAAGGGAATGACCTCCTGTCTGGAACAGTCTCTCTCCTCAAGGCCGCAGGCCTCAGTTGAGCAGGAAGCACTGGCCAACACCCATTGTCTTTTTGATAGCATTCTTGACTTCCTGGTTCCTCAGACAGTAGATGAATGGATTTAGCATGGGCGTGAGGACTGCATACACAGCTGAGATGAGTTTGTTGGAGTTAAATGAAGCAATAGCTCTGGGCCGAACATACATGAAAATCATGGCTGTGTAATAAATTATGACTACTGTGAGGTGGGATGCACAGGTGGAGAAGGCCTTCTTCCTTCTCTGGGTGGAGGGTATACGCAGAATGGTGGACACAATGTAGACATAGGAGAGGATAGTAGTGGTGAGAGGGAAGACAAGAATGACAATAGCCAAAGCAAAGTCCACTAGCTCAGCTGTGGACATGTCTTTGCAGGCCAGTTTGAGGATTGGTGAGATGTCACAGAAAAAGTGGTTCATGACATTGGAGCCACAGAAAGTGACATGTGAAATAAAATAGACCTTGATCACAGTGATCATGAAACCAGTCATATAAGAGAAAGCCACCAGCTGCACACAATAACCTGTGGTCATGATGACCGGGTATCTGAGAGGGTGGCAGATGGCCACATAGCGGTCATAGGCCATGGCTGCCAGAAGTACACACTCCGTGCAGGCAAGCGAGATAAAGAAGTACAGCTGGGTCATGCAGCCTGTGAAGGAGATGCGCCGTCTCTGCAGGAGGAATCCATCCAGCATCTTGGGGACTGTGACAGAGACATACCAGACCTCCAGGAAGGACAGACTACTCCGGAAATAGTACATGGGCTTATGGAGGGAGCCAGTGACCCAGACAGTGAGCATGATGACAAGATTCTCTACTACCACCAACAAGTAGACCACAAGGAAGAGGAAGAAGAGCAAGACCTGAAGCCAGGGGGCAGTGGGGAAGCCCACCAGGATGAACTCACTCACCAGAGTGATGTTTCTCCCCAGCATGACTAAGAGGTCTGAGAGGCAGGAAGTCATCACAAATAATGAATGTGACTATGACATTGGAGAGGAGACCAGTATGTTAGCAAATCAGTCTTTCCTGAGAATGAGACTCATAAAATAACCTCTTGTCAGTATGAAGTAATCTTCCAATGGGAAGCATATATTTCCATCAAAAAAATGTCACGTGTTTGTTATGAAAAACTCCTGGAATCAAAGTGCATTCCCATTCCTTACTCTCACTCACCTGATGAAATATTTGAATGTCACTCTCCATGTCATTCCTTACTCCTTTGTCCATCAACATGGACCAGTGGTCTCTCACTTGCTAGTTTCAAATCTCAATTTAATTAGAAAGCCACAACACAAGACATTTTTACTGCCTGAAAGAAAATGTTTAGGATAACATCAGAAAAAGCTCCAGGGTTTAATATTGGGGTGATCTATTGCCTGTAGTCCTTTGACCCACCACCATTTATTCACAGTAGAGTCTGTGGAAATTTAAAGAAATGATAAGTCTTGGACAATCCATTAATGACTCTCCATTGCTCTTAGATAAAAGTTCTTCATATTTTGACCCCTACGTATTTCTCTAGCCTCTCTCTTGGCATCCTCTAAATTGTTTCCATGCTTGAGATATACTCAAATAGTTCTACTCCTCAAGCACACTGTAATCACTCTAGCATTTTACATGCACTCATCCCTCTTGCTTTTATGCCTTTCCCCCATTTTTATCTGTTGATTCAAGATTCCATCTAGGAGATAACTGCACCAAAGCTGGGTGAAATACTTCAACAGCATTTTCTTCCAATGCACAACCTTCTCATGCATTGAGATTCCTCTCCTTTACATTGTATCTTTCAAAACTCAGGAAGATATTGGTCAAAGGGTTTAACATTCTGGTTATATGATGAATAAGCTCTGGGGTTCTAATGTACAGCCTAGTGCCTACTGTTATTAATGCTGCATTATATACTTGCAAGTTGCTAAAAGAATAGATCTTATATGTTCTCATCACACACAACGAAATCAAAATTATGTTACATAATAGAGGTGTTAACTAACCTTATTGTGGTAAGTTTTTCATAACATATATGTGTATGAAGTCATCATATTAGACTGCTTAATCTTATACAATGTTATATGTTGATTATATCTCAAAAGAACTGGGAAAAAAAGACTGTCCATCAAGACTATGAACCCAATGCCTANTAACATATATGTGTATGAAGTCATCATATTAGACTGCTTAATCTTATACAATGTTATATGTTGATTATATCTCAAAAGAACTGGGAAAAAAAGACTGTCCATCAAGACTATGAACCCAATGCCTAGAATAGTGACTGGAAAACATAAATATTATCAAATATGTATTAACAAGTGAATTAATCCCTTTAAGCTGGTGGCAGGAGGCACATACCTATCAGGCTACACATCTTTGGACATACGTCCATCTTGCATACCCAGGGTGTGTGCTCTGCTTAGTCACTCAGTTGTGTCCAACTCTTTGTGACCACATGGACTGTAGCCTGCCAGGCTCCTCTGTCCATGGTGATTCTCCAGGCAAGAATACTGGAGTGGATTGCCTTGCCCTCTTCCAAGGGATCTTCCCAACCCAGGGAACAAACCCTGGTCTCCCACCTTGCAGGCAGATTCTTTACCATCTTAGCCACCGGGGAAGCCCTCATACCCAGGGTACTTTCATGATAAATATATCCACCCTATCTGAGAACACCGGATATGATCCTTTGTCTCAGGTCACCTGGTTGTCAGCCACTGGGGCAAGCTCTACCTAGAGGGGTAAGGAAAAGGGAGGCCAGAGCATACATGAATACAATACAAGGATAGGCCACCTTGCAAGGCTGGAAGGAAGAGTCGTTTGTGAAGTAGCCCAATTACTTTAATCTGTGGCTAAGGAAAGAGGTTACCACAGGTTTATCTCTTGAAAAGTATGTAAATGAATATATATCTCCACTAAATATCACATTCATCCATAAAGACTGAGTTTAGGTCCCACCTTCAGAATATTGTTCACTCTTTTGGCCAAACAATTTGTCCACCCTACTGTCCATTTAACACACAGAGGGTGGGAGATCAATCAAGGATCATCTTGATAACCTTTTGGCTAGAGATCTTCTGGCCATGGCTCATGGCAAGGGACAGAAAGATGAGAGGCCAAAATACATATTATTTTTGCCACTGCCTCCTTCCCATAGCAGTACATGTCAGCAGACCTCTGCATTGCTTGCTGGATAGAAAGGGATTATGTCTCACCCCAGGACCTCCAATCAACACCTTTCACCTGTGATATAGTTCATTTGTAAGCAGTTCTCAGCCTGTCTCTCAATGCCTTTGACCTAATGTTTTTCTTTGGGAAAAACAACTGGATCTGATAGCAGAAAGGAGTGACATTTCCCACATTCTTCAGTATGTAGAGACTTTCCTTCGGGACTTGTGTTAGTGTAACACTGCATTTTCACTATATGCCACATAATTTCCCACACTTACCTTTGCAGATGAGTTATCAGCACCGACTTTAGAGTCAGAAAAAGGCTACCAGCTATGTCATCCTAAACAGACTATTTAAGAGTCAGGTACTTCAACACCCACTGTTGTATAAGAACATAAGGCTAATAATGCCTACCTTGCTGGTTTGTTGTGAGGATAAATGTGATAATGCATGGATAAGGCACTAGACTCATACATGCTACTCACATGTGTTTGTTTAAACATGCAGCCTTTTTCATTTTTGGTTTCATTCTTACTCGCTTTTTTTTATGTTATATTCTGGGGGAATGAGGTAAGCCAATTTCCTGGGGAACAGGATTATAGCATCTTTGAAAAGCTCTGAGTTGCAGATCACTCATGCCGCCTTTCTTATCTTCTTATCCTATGTTGCTTTCATGTATTTAATCATATTGCCGTTACTTCATATTTTCCTCCATGTATTTGCCACAAATGCACCTCTCAGCAGACTTTATTTTGTATCGTAGAGAAATGCAGAATTCTATTTTCCTTTTTTTCAGAACTAATAGCCCTGAGCTCTAGAATCTCTGTGGTGCCTGAGGAAAAAAAAAAATCATTTAATTAAAGTATAGAATTTGTTTTCAGTCTTTTGTATGCTCATTCTCAAGAGAAAACACAGACAGCAACAGACTTTTTCCTAGAACAGGAAACATATCTTTTTTGCCCTGGTCCAACATCCAAACAATCTCTCAGCTGCCCAAATGTGTACTGGATCTTTATTTCCCCACTCACTCCCCATAATACCCTTTCCCCCATCCAAAAATGATGCCTGCAGTCATTTCCCTAGGCCTCTCCTCATCTTCCCTGGAACTTTCTTCAGGGATCAACAAATCTCACCTGGTACCTTCAACTTCTCACCAGGATCCACCTTGCCTATCTTCAAGAGTGAAAAATCCTGCAGACGTTAGCACTAATCTTGAGGAAGCAGGCTGGCTTGCATATTTCTGTGCTTCCTGGGGATCCGTGTCTGGTCTCCGCTTAGACTGCCTGGTCAGTATTGCAGCACTGAGACCGGAAGACTAGAGCTGAGGCAGGATATATTTCACACTCACCGTCCCTTCTTCCCACAGGACTCACTCACATAGTCTCTCTTGGCTCCAGGGAGACTGTGTGCTGCCAAGGTCACGTCAGGGAGTCTGGATGGGGAGGTTGACTCTCCATCCACCTATCCATGCCTCTTCATACTTGAATATATTTAATTGTACCTGTAGAGAGAGTGCGGTCCTTTTTTCTTCCTACTATATGCAAAGTAGTGCAGCACCAAATTACTCAAAAATCAGGATAAGAGCTCTGAGTCAGTTAATAAGGTAATTAATACATTCATTTGTTCATTCATTACAAAAATCACATCCTGCTTTTATTGTGCTCTTTTTAGGTACAAGTCAATATGCTATGTACATTTTTTGGAGTAAAATTATGTAGATCATGGCTTCTGCCCTCTAGGAACTTCTAATATTCTAATTGAAGTTAGAAGTAGGTACTGTAATGAGTGTAGTATGTGATGTGTGACAAGAGAGGTGCAAACAGTGTTCTAGGTACACCAACGAGAGAGAAATGGTTTCTAACAGGAATCTAGAAAAGGTTCCATCAAAGAGGTGTCATTCCAGACTCATTGCAGGAAGGTAGCATGAAAATAATGCAATGAGAAATAATTTTGGTCCATCAGTCAGAAGATCTAGTTTTAATGTAGATTCCATCATTTTTAAGATATTTGACCTTAAAAAATTATCTTTATTCCTCAGGATTTTATCCCACAAAACATGGTAATAATAATTCCCTTGTCACTATCATATTAATATTAGCTTCAGAAGTAATATGAATATGAGTATGTATATGAAAACAGCTCTAAAACTGCTTCGTGATAAGTATACAAATGTAAATATTACCTGTGTTGGAATATGAACCACAGTCACGATTTGATCAGAAGAGATGATGTGAGAAGGTTTTCAGTGTAGAGAGACACACACAAGAGCATGCAGCGGAACGATGGCAGAAGGTAGACAGGTGACCATAGAGTCCTCTGCCTTGGATTGCAGGAAGTGCTCAGTCATCTGATGAGCATTTGAGAAGGATGTGCTGTGTGCTAAGAACAGTGCAAAATGACAACCCCTTTTGTCTGTCAGGGCTTCCCTTGTGGCTCAGCTGGTGAAGAGTCCACCAGCAATGAGGCAGACCTCAGTTCGACCCCTGGGTTGGGAAGATCCCTGGAGAAGAGAAAGGCTACCCACTCCAGTATTCTGGCCTGGAGAATTCCATGCACTGTATGGTCCAAGGGGTAGCAAAGAGTTGGACATGACTGAGTGACTTTCACTTTCACTTTTGTCTGTCAAGTTATCCACAGAAGAGTGAGCCCACAGAATCTCTGCCCTTAATTGTGCCTCAGTAGTGGAGAAGATCCCCTGGAGAAGGAATAGCAACCCACTCCAGTATTCTTGCCTGGGAAACCCTATGGATGGAGAAGCCTGGAAGACTACAGTCCATGGGGTCACAAAGAGTTGAACACAACGGAGCGACTTCACTTTAACGGTAAAATTGAGAATCAAGTGCTAGAAGTTTTGGAAGAACAAAGGCCCAGGAGATACATTTGTATGTCTGTGAATAGGTGGATGAAGGGAGTGAAACGGTGACCTGAAAAAATGAGAAGTTCTAGAGAAATAAACTCCTAAAGATCGTAAAGGATAACATCTAGGCAGCATCTGTCTATTGTAACTTATTGTCATTTAAGGTAATACTAGTGATTTGTTCTAAATAGGATATATAACTTGTTCCAAATTACTCTTTTCCATCCTGCCTGAGAAGAATTCACATGAATCTGTGATATAGCAACCCCTCCAAGGTATATTGGCAGGTGTATGTGTGATCTCAGAATACACAGATAACATAAATACGATGTGACAACCAGCAGTGGTGGGTTCATTTACATTGTTTACATTTCTGTGGCTAGGCCTTAAGGGGAAATCAGTTCCCCTTACGTACAAACCAAGTATAGTATGTCTTCCTGTGCCCAGTCTTCAGTCATATCAGACTCTGCAACCCCCTGGGCCACAGGCTGCCAGACTCTTCTGTCCATGGGATTTTCCAGACAAGAATATTGGAGTCAGTTGCCATTTCCTACTCCAAAGTATTTTCCTGCCTATCTCCAAATAACAAGTCAAAAATGATGAATGTTTGTAGTTTAACTTTGTTTTTGCCCAGTAACACAGTCAGGCAAGAGTTTGTTTCCAAGTGACTCACTGAGCAGTGTCAGCATTTTATTTCAAATAAAAATTAGTTTTATTATTTATTGTTTATACCGATAATATAATATCGATATTATATATTGTTTATATTTATTGTTTATCTGCTCATACCATACTACCTTCTATGTCAGGAAGTCCGATAGAAACATATCTGTTTTGTTCTTTAAAAAAAACTAAGGCTGGACCTAGCCCTTCCCATACCCCATCCATTCGTATTCTTTGTCTAAAGGCATGTGGTGAGTTGACACTATTCTAGAAATCTAGATCACTGGTGTTCAAGAAATGAGACTATGGAACATGAAAATCAGGAAGGTATCATCCCCCTAAGGAAAGACTGTAAGAGAAAATGAAAACATCTGTGCTATAAGCCCTCTCTCTTCCCTGCTTGCCTGCCACAAATGGTGACAACTAAAAGAGCCAGTATCATTAGTTAGAGCTGCTAAATATATAAAGCAAAAATAGTGTCATTTATACTTTATTTTAACTCTCCCTTATCAATCAGCTAAATTAAAACAGTATCAATTGCATGAATTTCATGAGAATTAAAAATCCAGAAAATTGTGAAAAAGTTAATATGGAGTCACTAAAATCAACTGAATCCTATTCAATTATTTAGTATAAAAAGATTGATAATGTGTTCCTTTTTAAGTAAACTTTTTATTTTGGAATAATGTTGGATTTGCAGAAAAGTTTTAAAGAGACTTCTCATATTTTACTAGTTTGTTTCTCCTAATATTATCATCTGACCTTACAGTGTACACTTTTGAAATTAAGAAAGCAAAACTAGTACATTTTTTTGGTTACTAAACTCCAGGTTTTATTCATACTTTACCAGTTTTTCCATATTCCTTTTACATTCCAGGATCCTATCTGAGATATCACATTCCTTTTAGGTGTCCTATCTCTTAGTCCCCAGGATTTGATAGTTTTTTGTCTTTACTTGAATCTCACAACTGTAAGGGGTTCTTAATGTAGCAGGATAGGGTATTTAGTACTATAGAAGGAGTTTATTAAAAATTGATGGGAACCAGTCAACATTTTTGAGGACAAAAGCTGTCTACATTGATCCTCACTTGCTGTGTAGATATTTGTTGCCTCTAGCCACTCTCAATACCTCTCATATCTGAAAGATCCTGTCTGGATCCAGTATTCCTATTTCCTATAATGATGGAGACTGGAGACTTCCCCCGGACAATACCCCGGCCAAAGGAAATTACAAAAGAGCCACATCATTTATCAATATTTTGAGAAATTTGTAATTATAAAGATGATCTGAAAGAAATAGGATCAAATGTAATAAGAATTTTTTAAAAGTCCTCTCTCTAGGTTTATGGACAAATAATTATATCAATGGATGATGAAGAATACTTATCTGATAACTAATATTTCTTTTGAAAATCTTAGGTTTGGAATATCAAATTCAATATCAGTCATGAGGATAATATGACTGTGAACATACAGTCCAAGTTGGGAGAAGTGTTAATCCCACCAGAGTTAACATTGACTCAAACATCTCAGTTTTGTAAGTGAAAGATAATAAGTGCAGGAGATTGTGCTAACCTTGTTTCCTACACCTGAAGTATTTGGTTCCAAATTTTGAAATCAGAATTAGAGGTATTTTTTAAAACTAAAAAGAATTTTAAAAACACACATACTTTATTGTAAAAAGCTTGGAAGAGAAAGAAAAGCACAATAAAGGAAATCAACATCACGGGTGTTTATTTCCTGCTAATTGGAGTTCACTGATAAGGAGGCTCATAAAATAGCTACACTGTTGATGCCCAGAAGAGGACATTCCCTTCCCAGATCACTACCCAATTTCAGATACTTATTCAATGGCAGAGGTAGAAGATAGATTTTTGGTGAACTGCATATCCAGTCATTTATTAATTGTCATAGCAAGACACTTATAAGTTTATATAACTGTTTTGGCACACATAGATGTGAATATTATTTAAAATCTTTAATAAGTAGAGACTAGCTAATAATGCCTAATAATTATGTTGCTAGTAGCCTTTCATATGCTTTTAAAAATCAAAATATAGTTGATTTACGATATTATATTCATTTCAGGTACACAATACAGTGATTCAATATATAGATTATAACTTTTCGTATGCTTTATTAAGATGTAGACAAATATAGGAAAGTAAATTGCAACAACACAAGGCCCCTACACTTGCAGAGAGAAGCAGCCTATTGTTCTGAGTCTTGGGTGATTGTAAGGAGTTACATTTCCAAAAATCACACTGACATACCCTTTAACCATCTTTCTGTCTAGATGAATAAAGTTTCATATTTTATTGGCCAAGAAATGTTTATTTAAATAAATATGCTTGTAATAATACCTTTGCCCAGAATGCAGTTTATAAGAACAAGGGGTTCATTGCATAGTACTGCTAATATTTCAGTCAACTCCTTCTGCTGCTGCTGATGCCGCTAAGTTGCTTCAGTCGTGTCCAACTCTGTGCGACCCATAGGCGGCAGCCCACCAGGCTCCGCTGTCCCTGGGATTCTCCAGGCGAGAACACTGGAGTGGGTTGCCATTTCTTTCTCCAATGTGTGAAAGTGAAAAGTGAAAGTGAAGTCACTCAGTCGTGTCCGACTCATAGTGACCCCATGGACTGCAGCCTACCAGGCTCCTCTCCATGGGATTTTCTAGGCAAGAGTACTGGAGTGGGGTGCCATTGCCATCTCTGATTCCTCTAGTCATATTTAAATAAATGAACAAATAAGACCGATGCTATTTTGTACAGTGTAGTATTTTGATATTATTCATAACCTAATATTTGCATTTATTATATGAAGAATATTTTTCTGTCATTACCTCTATTTAGATTATAGTATTTTAGTGTCTGCATGATATTTCACTTAATGTATAGACTAAAAATTAATTAATCAGTCTTCTGTGGAAGTTTAGTATATTTCCATATTTTTCTTATAGTAAATACAAATGTCTGTATTTACTATTAGGAAATTTGATATTTCTTAATCGAATATTTGTGTTTCAAATGTTTGCAATATTTTTAGCATTTATGATACATATTGCCAACTTTTCTTTCAGCAAGGTTGTGCCACTTTGTACCTATTTGTATCCTAGCAAGATGTACAAGGTTTAGTTTCTGAAACCTGTGAAAACTACCTATAGATGTTACACACATGCTTCGCCTACATGGCTCCAAATTATATTCCTTTGCTATATTTCTTTATAGCTATCATGTGCCAAACACTATTCTGAGCCCTGCTAATAAAATGATGAATAAACAAATGTGATCTCTGGTTCCTTGGAGCTTATAGTCTAATTAGGGAGACTGAGTATTAAATAAACAACTGCACCCAGTCACTAGTTCAGTGTGGGCACTGACCTTGATAAATCAGGAGATGAAGCTCTGAACCTCTATAGTCCAAGGGGTGATATATTGCCAATACAAAAATTCACAGTTTTCTGTCTCCCTGCCTTGTAATTCAGACTAGAATGATCAGTTATGGTTCCTGTCCTTCATGGGCTACGATCGGTATCCTCCAGCTAGAAGAGGTCTCATCCAGAAGTCTCCTGATGCTTTTCCATAATGAAACCTATGCTTCCTTGAATGGCTTTTCTCCTTCTGCTTCCCTTTTTTGTATCTTCTGTCTCAGAACTAAAATTTAGTAACAAATCCAGGAAGAGCCACTGAGAAAGATGCTAGTTCTGAGAAAGATGCTATTGGAGTTCAGTCATGTTTTATACTCATAGTCATCCCTTCCCACCCCACCAGGATACATGCTGCATGGACCTGTTCTATGTAAATTACAGTAGAACAGACAACATGAGATCAAGTTCTAGCCTGTATGTTAAGACCTTGTCTTGAAGAAATCCAACTTCTAGCTTCTAATCCATCTCTCTTCCTTGTTGTGAATTAGTTCCTCGGTGGTGCCTTGGAAACTCTAGTCCCTAATTTAGGCTCTAAGAGCTCTTCTGCCTTCTTAGAAGATATAGATCCTAAGTTTAAGAGCTCTGGTGGTGGTAGTTTAGTCACTAAGTCTTTTCTCACTCTTGTGGGCCCATCAGTCTTCTCTGTCCATGGGATTCTCCAGGCAGAATACTGGAAGGGGTTGCCATTTCCTCCTCCAGGGGATCAAACCACTTCTGTCTTGCAGGCGGTCTCCTGCATTGTAGGTGGAATTTTTACCACTGAACCACCAGGGAAACTTATCTAAGATTTAATACCTCCCTTCTACTTGTTGTGCTAGTTTTCCCAGGCTTAGCTAGCATCATGACCCTGGTGCAGGTGTAGAGTATGGCGTAAGGCTCTCTTTACTTCTTGGTTGCGCAGGCAGTAAATGATGGGGTTGAGCAGTGGTACAATGACAGCATAAAGTACAGACACCAGCTTGTTGGTGTCAAAAGCTGAGAGTGCCTTTGGGCGGGCATAGATGAAGATACTGGCTGCATAGAAGATGACCACCACAGTGAGGTGAGAAGCACAGGTGGAAAAGGCTTTATGGCGCCCAGCAGCTGAGGGAATGCTCATTACAGCACTGGTGATGGCCATGTAGGAGGCTCCAGTGACAGAGAGTGGCCCCAGTAGGATAAAAATGGCCAGGACAAAGTCTGTAAGCTCTGCTGTGGACATGTCAGTGCATGAAAGGTTGAGCAACGGAGAGACATCACAGAAAAAGTGGTTGATGATGTTGGGGCCACAGTAAGAGAGGCGAGAAATGAGGAAAACTTTGACCATGGAAATGCCAAAACCTCCAGCCCAGGAGCCAGCTGCCAGCTGCACACACAGCTGGCCGCTGACAATGACAGGGTAGTGGAGAGGATGGCAGATGGCCACATAGCGATCATAAGCCATAACTGCGAGGAGGACACACTCGGTGCAGCCCAGGCCCAGGAAGAAGTAGAGCTGTGTCATGCAGCCCTCAAAGGAGATTAGCTGCCCACGGCCCCGTTTGGACCCAACAAAGCCAGCGAGCATCTTGGGAATAGTGACTGTCACGTACCAAATCTCCAGGAAGGACATATTAGCCAGAAAGAAATACATGGGTTTGTGGAGGCTGGGGTGGTTCCTGATTGCCACAACAATGAGTATGTTCTCAGTCAGCACCAATACATAGGCTAACAGAGAAAGGGCAAATAATAGTGCCTGCAGTGGTCCCGGAGCTGGGAAGCCCAGCAACACAAACTCACTCACTCTCCCACTCTGGTTCTTCCTCTCCATGGAGTCATTCATGCCCATTGCTTTTCAGGGGAGAATAGAGTGTGTTCAGGAGGCAGCAGCAGAAACTCAGTCTTTCTCTCGCTGGGTTTATAGTGGCAGAGTGCGATGGGAGTAGTGCATGTAATTCATCACTGAACTGAAGCCATTGGTTTCTTCTGTAATCTGGAAATGAGCTAAGACGAAAGTAGATAGAAATAAACTACCTTGTATTGGAATAGGATGGGAGTTTATTCTGGCTCTTGGAAAAGCATGGATTGATAAGCACCAGTTGGTCCCTGAAAAACATAGATCAAAACCAAAAATATTAAGAGTCTTAGCTGCTCTGAAGTGAGAGTTAGTCTATGAGCTACATCATGACTGTTTTGAAGAAATAATTCATATCTTAAAGGCATTATGATAAGTAAAATAAACCAGAGAGAGAAAAACAAATATTGTGTGTGTCTGTTTTATATGGAATCTGAAAACATCAAAACTCCTAATAAGTTTATACCCAAGTTTCTCTCTTCTTTATGCTTTGTGAGCAGTACTTGAGCATTTCTTAGTATTTGAGCCACTTGTCAGGCTCCTCTGTCCATGGAGTTTTCCAGGCAAGAATACTGGGATGGGTGCTTTAATACAATTACAAAGTGTCATATCCCTGGCTTACACTTCCCATCACTCCCATTCTTACCATCCACACCCACCACTTATTTATTTCAAAAGTATTGGTGGATCAAACACATTCCAGACTATAGGCTGAGTTGTGGTAGAGAAAAGGTAAATAAGACGTGGACCTAGTCTTCAAGGAGCTCGTAATCTGGTGGTAGAGACATGTCTTCATCTTCTCATTCCTGAAAGTTTAATCTGCCACACCTATTCTTATACTCTACACTATCTTCATAAATGGGAACTTCTAAATTGTAATTGTCATCAGAACCTTAACTTTGATCCTTTATTCTCAATATGCACCTCGTGTGTGATTAACTGTGCATTTGACCCTTTGGCCTTAGATACTCCTGTGTATCGATTAATCTCTTCTGCCTTCACCTTTGATGCTCTGCACATTTGAAAATAAGCAAATAAATTTAAAAGATTAGGCTCCTCGTTGACCTTACTGCCTATAGTCTCTCCCCTAGAGCTTAAATCTGAGCATTTCTTTCCCCTGCTTAAAACCTTCCGTAGTACCACATTGTCTACACAATCAAATTCAAGCTATTTCACAAGGTGTCGCCAAACAAGGTGTTATCTCTTGTCACAGCCTGCACTGTTTTTTATACCCTGCAGCTCTTGGCATACAGCACCTAATGTATCACCTAATTCCTACTTAACTTTCAAATCTTGACTCATTTGGCATCTCCTCATAGAAACATTAGTTGTCCTTTCTTTCTTTTCTTTTTCACTGATTTTTTTAAGGTTCCTCTCATTACTATTTCTCTAATATTAGAGCATGGGAAAGCCCATATATCACTTTTACTAGTTGTGTCAGTGCTGCTACTGCTTAGGTAGATATAAAATAAAAGAGGAACCACATGCTAAAGTGGCCACATATATCCTTAATGGTATAGCAAAGAATGGATATAATTCCCTTGATGTCACATAGGCCCCTCAAGCATAACATGTCTAGAAAATTTTTCCTAAGTCTATTCTTCCTCTATTACAATGAATGATATTAGTTTCTCTGCAGATGTACCATACCAGAGATCTGGAAGTTTCCTATATCTTCTATACCTATTCTACCCACCTGAACCCCACAACTAATTCAAGTTTTATCTAAACTTCCTCTTTGGTTATCTCCTAAATTTGTCCCATTTCTACTGTCTTCTCTTTAGTCCCTTATACCAATCAGGTCCTTGTTATTTCTTGACTTATTTTTCAATAGCCTATTACCTGGTCTTTTTTCCTCCAACCTCAACTCGTATAAATCTAATTTCTACTTGTTTCTAGAGTGAAGCTTTATACAGCCATCTCATTCCAAGAGCATTTAATTTGGGGAAAACATACAAAATCCCTCAATAATTTGTCAAAATGTATTTGCTTTGACTGTCCTGCAATAATGTCATTGAACACTATTTTTCTTTTTCTAAACATAATGTGCTATTCTCTCTAATTCTGTGATTTTCCTATATTCTTCTCCTTCAAAATTGCTCCCAGGAACAAAAAAAGAAAGAAAGAAAGAAAAAAACTGTTCCTAGGCATTATTTACCTTTCACGTTTTAGTTTCTCAATTATCATCTTCCAAAACTACCCATATTTCTACAGATAAAGATTATCTACAGGTATTTTTGTCTCTTCTTTTGACAGTGATTCTTATTTTAGGGTCTGCTTAAGAACTAAATAGTAAAGGTATTACAGTGGTTGTAGGGAGGCTTGGATGGAGGGGAAAATGGAGAAAGGAAAGATATGGGTAGAACAGGTGAATTAGATATGATAGGAATCAAATATAAAGAAACAAAATGGATGGAATGATTGAATAGAGAATTTAAACAGAAAATTTGACAGAATTGGAATGACATGTAATGAAAACAGACATTGAATATAGAAGAATGAGTAGATCTGCAGGGACAAGATAGAATTTAAGGAAGTTAGATTAAGAGCAGAGAAATTGGACCTTCTGGTGATAAAAAGGATGGTATTTAGGTAAAATAAATGTGCTATATGGATAAGAGATCCAGTGAGAGAAGAGTGGGTGAAGATAAGTATAATATAGAAAGAATTTGGAATGAGATATCATAAAAGCTAAAGGGAGGCTAGGCAGAGTGTGAATAAATACGAATGTGTGGAAAAGATAATTACATTGATCTAAGTATCAGAATGGACCAGATTTGAGAAATGCTGATAAGGATTTGGGTTTTATTAGATGCAGAGGCAACGAGGAAGATGGATGTATTGAGTAGAAAGAAAACATGGGAGACTTGACCATTGAAGAGGAATAAAGCAGATAACAAAATCCACTTACTTTATTCAGGTGTCTTTGACTCAGTGTCTTCCCAAGATGACCTGCTGGCTAGGAAACCACTTAACGAGCATATGTGAAGGAAAATTAAAGCATCTGGACAAAGAAAGATGCTACAGAGACTCCACCTTCTCTTCTTCCCATGGTCAGAGAGCTCTACCACACCAGGAAAGTTTCTTTTATCTTGCACCTCCCTCCTGTAGTCTCCATTTGCCCTCCTCCTTCTGATGTTTGTGATGACTTTATAGCCAGAGCCCAAGAGATTAGTAGAGATACAAGGAAAAAAAAAAAAAACAAAAGAGAGAGAGACTGGGATAGAAGACAGGGAAAGGGTATGTTTAAGAAACAAGAAATAGAAGTTTATCAGAAAAGTTGATCAAAATAGCAGATGGTGCTCACAATACTCCTACAACCTCGTAGCTTCTCCCCTTGCTCTCCCTTTCCTTCTTTCTATCCTGCCACTTTCCTAGGCAGCCTAAAGCTCAAACTTTAGGTTCTAGCTTAGCTTTAGCTCAAGCTTTTAGCTCTAGCTCAAGTATGTAATCTTGGGCAATTTACTTAAATTTTGTGAGCCTTAGATTCCTAACCTAAAAAATGAGAATGCTGCTGCTGCTGCTGCTGCTAAGTCACTTCAGTTGTGTCTGACTCTGTGCAACCCCATAGACAGCAGCCCACCAGATTCCCCCATCCCTGGGATTCTCCAGGCAAAGAACACTGGAGTGGGGTGCCGTTGCCTTCTCAAAAAAAAAAAATGAGAATAATACACCTCAAAAAGTTGTTAAGAGAAATAAATGTCATGATATATAGGCAATGCTTGGAACATGCTAGGGTCTCAATAATGTTACAAAATTTCTTCCTTTATCTTCTGAACTCATATGGGTGACATCTCTTATTAATAATTCCGTGATGTCATAGAAGGATCACTGAACTGAGAGTTTCTGGGTTTTAGTTCAATGTTTTTAATTTATATTCTGTTTAATAAGGATTTTTTATATATCAGTTGATTTGCCATAAAATGATACTAACATATTTTACAGATGTTTTGAGAATTAAATAAAACAAAATTTGTGAAAAGATTTGTCACAATCTCAGTCCCTAGGAAACAGTGTAAGTAGAGATTAATAATGTGATCTCCATCATCACTCTGCTTGTTTTCAACTATGTGACTTGAAAAAATTATTTAACATCTCTCTACTTCTTTTTTCTTACCTGTAAAATGAAAATGATTCTAATATCCATCTCACAGAATTGTGAAGATTAAATATATGGATGGGAGTTTCTTAGAACAACACCTGGAACATAGTTTTTCTCAAAAAAAATGTTAGCTAGGGTCCAAGAAATATTTGTTGAATTTCAGCCTGTTGAAACTAGAGAAGAATTATTAGTGGGAACATTTGAGATTAAGAGAAGGGTCTTTGAGATTCTGAGTTTAAGAGATTCTTTGAAGTAACTGGGAGGAAGCAGTTCCCAATGTTTGAATAATCAGGACAAAATAAGAATGATTGGACACTTGTCATTATCTGGTTTAGTGTGCCATCCCTAAGCCTGACTAACTCCATGGTAGGAGCAAGACTCAGGTCTCCAGGAACAGAAAAAAAGCTGAGAAAGTCAAGAGGAAGTAATCACAAGAACATGATGCAGCAGTGAGGAGAGAAAGAACATCTACAAATAGTCTTAAAATGAAAACCTAATCTCGAGTGCCATAGACATTGTATTAAACCCTATTTTGAATAAAGGAAAATATGTATATACATAAATATTATCGCCACGTTTATTGCCATGCTGTTAGTTAAAAACTGTCAAAACCAACAGTTGCTTGAATTAGCATTGATTTGGTTGATATGGTAGTATTATTTAAATGAGGAATGTTTGCAAACCTCATTAAGACTTAGAAGTTGATGTCAGTTTGCCTTTGGTGATTGTTACCAGCCAACAGACCACAACAATAGGTTAAATAAAACAGCCATAATCATTTCAATATATGTACTGTTTTAAAAAAAATTTTATTTATTTATTTATTTATTTCTGACTGTGTTGGGTCTTCACTGCTGTGTGGACTTCTGGTTGCAGGGAGCAGGAGCCACTCTCTAGTTGCGGGGCACAGGCTTCTCACTGCAGTGGCTTCTGTCATAGAGGGGCACAGTTTCCAGAGCATGGGCTCCATGGCTGTGGTGCAGGGGCTTCGTTGCTCTGTGGCCAGTGGAATCTTCCTGGATCAGGGATCAAACTCGTGTCTCCTGCACTGGCAAGTGAATTCTTCACCTCTGAGCCACCAGGGACATCCCAATATATATTTACTATGAAATCCATTTGATAAACATTCATGAGGATAAAGGGGATACGTCTTTAAGATTAAAAAAAAAAAGGTACAGGTTTAAATTTCTTCATTCAAAACAAATGGGGCTCTTGAGCTTTTCAGCTTTTAGAAAGATAATATGCTGCATACACCATATGTTTCCTATCACTTCCAAAGAGTTCCATAATCAAATGCATCAATATATCTACACTTCCCAGAGAATCTGCCTGCAACACGGGAGACCCGGATTCGATCCCTGGGTTGGGAAGATCCCCTAGAGAAGAGAACAACTACCCATTCCAGTATTCTAGCCTGGAGAATTCCATGGATTGTACAGTCCATGGGGTCACAAAGAGTTGGACATGACTGAGCGACTTTCACTTCACTTCACTTCAATATATCTACAGCAAAATATATGACTATACAATGTGAATTAAATAAATAAATAATCAGCTTATAACAGGTTTTTAAATCCAATGTCTTAAGACCCCAAACTTAGGAAAAACTGCTCAGTTTCAAAGCTGCTTGGATTTATGAATTGTAGATAAAGGCTTATGGAATCTATCCCTATTTATAACCAAATGTATGTGTCAAGTGGAAAAATGCCAGGTATGTTCTTATGAAAAAATAAGATGGCAAAAATATTCTTATTCCCCATTATTTCATGTTGCTTTGGCAATTTTTGTAATAAAATATAACCTGAAAAAAGTGAATAATAAATATTGAAAAGATAGATATAAAATATTATTTGCATGTATGATTATACTTAAGAAAAATAAGAGTACTTAATGAAAAACTATTAAATAATTGTAAGAAATAGTACAGAAAGATTCCATGTACCCTTTGCCTATTTTCCCATTTGAAACTATAGTACATTAGCACAAATGGTATCCACATGGTAATATGTAGGGTTGTTGTCATTGTTCAGTCATTCGTCATGTCCAACTCTATGCAACTCCATGGACTGCAGCATGCCAGGCTTCCCTGTCCTTCACCAACTCCCGGAGCTTGCTCAAACTCATGCTTATTGAGTCAGTGATGCCATCCAATCATTTCAACCTCTCTCATCCTTTTCTCGTCCTTTTCTCCTCCTGCCTTCAATCTTTCCCAGCATCAGGGTCTTTTCCAATGAGTTGGCTCTTCACATCAGGTAGCCAGAGTATTGGAGCTTCAGCTTCAGCATCAGTCCTTCCAATGAATATTCAGGGTTGATTTCCCTGGTTGATTGACTGGTTTCATCTCCTTGCATTCCAAGGGACTCTCAAGAGTCTTCTCTAGCACCACAATTCGAAAGCATCAATTCTTTGGCATTCAGCCTTCTTTATAGTCCAACTCTCACATCCATACATGCCTACTGGAAAAACCATAGCTTTGACTGTAAGTAGGATACAGAATAACTTCATCACAAGAGTCTTCCTATTGCCCTTTGCAGGCAGATCCATTTCTATTCTGACCTCTACTCCTTCCTTAAGCCCTGGTAACTGCTATCTATTCTCCATTACTATAATTTATCATTTCATAAATATTATATAAATGGATTCATATATTATATGTGATATATAATATGTGATATATAATTATATAATTATGTGAAATGAACTTTTTTCCTTAGCATAATTTTCTGGAGATTCATTCAGATTGCGTGTATTCATAGTTCATTCTTTTTCTTTCTTTAATTGCTGAGTAGTGCTACATGCTGTATATACTTCAGTTTGTTTAAACATGCAACAGTTGAAGACATCTGGATTGTTTCCAATTTATGTTATTATGAATAAGGCTGCTAAAAACATTTATGTAGAAGTTTTTATGGGACAAAAATTTTACTTTGATTTTGAGATAAATAGCATTAAACAAGTATATCAATTTGGGGAGAATTGAGCATCATACTACTTCAATATTCCAGTCCATGAACACAGTCTGTTTCTCCTTTTATTTAGATCTTTATTCATTTCCTTCTTCAGTATTTTGTCCTTTTCAGCACAAAAGTCTTGTAAATATGATTTTATATTTACATAACCTAAATATTTTTAAATATTGTTATTAATTTCAATGTCTATGTGTTTGCTGCAATTGCATAGAAATACACTTGATTTTTAAAAATATTTTATTTATTTATTGGACACACAGCATGTGGGATCTTAGTTCCCCAACCAGGGTTTGAACCCATGCTCCCTCCATTGGGAGCTCAGAATCTTAACACTGGACCATCAGGGAAGTCCCCGCACTTAATTTTTATGTTTATTTTGTATCCTATGGTCTTTTTGAACCCACTTCTAGTTCTAAGCTATTTTGTTGATTCTGATTTCCAAGTCTTGATTCTCTGCATTTTCTGACACAAAGTTAGAATGGGATTTCCCAAGCAAGATTAGTGGAGTGGGTTGTCATTTCCTTCTTCAGGGGATCTTCCCAACCCAGGGCTGGAACCTGCGTCTCCTGCATTGGCAGGTGGATTCTTTGTTATTGAGTCACTGGGGAAGCCCATTAAGGAGAAAGGGCACCTTGCCACTGCTCAGGGGTATGAAAGTCTGGGCTCTCCACTGACACCTGGTGGCCGGGGGATGAAATTCCTGGCTCCTCACCCACCACGGTGAGGAGGAAGGTAGTCACCCCCGCCTTTGAAGGTAGTCTCCCCCGCCTTTAAAGGTAGTCTCCCCCGCCTTTGACCGCAGTTTTTCCTACTGCGTTTGGAATAAGTAGAGTAGTTATCATCTAAAACATTTCTGTCTTACTAAGTTGCTGGGTCGTTTGGCTAGAGACAGGTCGTTTTGGCTGGGGCTTTTGTGTGTGAAAAAAGGGGTAAAGTGAAAGTCCCTTAGTAGTGTCCAGCTCTTTGCGACCCCGTAGACTGTAGCCTGCCAGGTTCCCCTCTGCATGGACTTCTCTAGGCATGAATACTGGAGTGGGCAGCCATTCCCTCTTCAGGGGATCTTCGGACCCAAGGATCTAACCAGGGTTCGATAAAGGCAGATTCTTTACCGTCAGAGCCACCAGTAAAGCCCTGATTACATTGACACAGCAACCGTTATAGCAGAAGGCAAAGAGGAATTAAAGAGCCTCTTGTTGAAAGTGAAAGAAAAAAATGAAAAAGCTAGCTTCAATCAACATTTCATCAACTAAGGTCCTGGCATCTAGTTCCATCAGTTCATGGCAAATAGATGGGGGAAACAATGGAAACAGTGACAGAATTTATTTTCTTGGGCTCCAAAATCACTGCAGATGGTGACTTCAGCCATGAAAATAAAAGACACACTTGTTTGCTCCTTGGAAGGAAATCTATGACTAACCTAGACAGCATATAAAAAGCAGAGACATTACTTTACCCACAAAGGTCCATATCGTCAAAGATATGGTTTTTCCGGCTCTATGGTGGGTTAATGGTGGC